ATGTCACGAGAGGCAGGCCTCAGCTAGCTTGTAAATCCTCTGATTTAGGGCTGGTATGTATGAGTAGAACTCCATGAGTTTCTAAACTCACTAATCTGAAGTGTGTTGACTTAACATAGCTCAGCATTTTGAATGCATCTAACTGACCCAAGAGTTTATATCCTTTCTGTCATTTCACTGTGCAGCAATGTTTTATCAACTTCCTGTCTAAAGAAGAGCAGGACCACAACAAAAAAACTGAAGAATTCCTCTGAGATGATGCTGAAAGCCCATCTCTCTCTCCTGCTTTGTCCTTCCTTCCCTGTTTCACTGACACAGGGCAGGTGACTGGTTTGTCTGACTTTCCTCAGCTCACAGGGGATCCCTGCAGCTCCCGTCTCATTTGCCAAGCACTGATTAGTAGCATAAATCCCACTTTGAGGCACTGAAAATCTAGGAGCAGCAAGTGACATACTAGTTTCTTGTGTCCATTTTTAGTAGTAGGTAAACCATATAAAGAAATATGAAGATTTCTTTGATCACATAAGTTAATAGAAGAGCTAAATACAGAATCCAGGAGGCCTTGCACTGTTCTCTGGTCTTACTAATTCTCATGTATAATAAAGGATAAACGCTCATGTTTTGAGATGGAAATAAACTCTTCTTTCTTTTTTTCTTTCTTAGGAAAGACTTTAGGAAGCAAAATTTTATAAGCATTGCTCAAAATGTTATACAGAACTGTTGTATTACTTGTACTGAATTATGTGCGAATTTCAATAATCCCCCCTTAGATATAATTACTACATAATGAATGCGATACAGAAAATGTCCAGCTGGTTAGGGTGTAATATAGTGTACTCTCATGAACTGTCCATAAGTTGTAGGAGGTAAGATATTTATTCTGAAATTACTGTAGACAAGCTAGTATCATGTATTGCTGTGCTCTGTTATACTAGGAGACTGCTGGCTCTTCTGCTGCAGGAGCAACTTGCCTTTCACTGAGCGTGTTGCAGACAGAGGATGCTGGCCGCCGGCTGCACGGCCACGGCTAAGGCCTCTTGCAGTAGCGTGCGTTGCAGCTGCACACGTTCTGCTCCTTTGGGTATAGTGATAGTAGTGCTCAGCATGGCACTCACCTTGTTGCACTTAATTCTGCAGTTTGTCATGAATTTCCTGCCTGTCTGGAAGGCTGCCGGCTTTTTCCTTATGACCTTTCTCGCCTCCTTTCATTCCTGTCAGAATCCTTTGGAGTTGTGATCCAGTTCCTTGAAGTGTGATCAGTCTGCGTCAGTGTAGGAGCCTGTTGCAGATAGCTTTCCAAGTACTACTCCTCTGGCTAAATAAGGGATTAAATGGTAGAGAAAAGCTGTTATTGTGATACAATACAGGTGATTGTTTAGGAGCTGTTTAGAGCATTTTAATTCTATTCTGCGAGTTCAATTACAGCAGTAGTGCAGTAAGTACAGAATTACCTTTCTCAGTGGCTCATATATTATGCCAGCACTCCTGAAAGTTTACCACAGATTTCTGTAGGAGTAGATTTGATTTAAAGGGTTGAATTTGATTTCTTCTGCTTCTGTCAGCCACAATACTTAGCTCAAGGTGCTAAACTGAGAGCTTCCTGCTACCAAGTGCACAAAATACATCCCGCTTGTGATGTATTTAACAAGGGAAGAGGGAGAAAATACCATAATATACCATAACATTTTCTTTTGCTCAGCTATTAAAAATTTTCAGAGATCCTGACAAATTGCTTTTGGTTGAGAGAACCTATTTTCAAGAGTAAAAGCTAATATTTTCTTCAAAATTGTGGAGATCTGGAAAATGCTGATGAGAGTTTTCACAGAAGTAGAGGACTTATAGTTTGAATTTTTTTTTTTTTTTTTTTTTTTTTTTTTGTCAGATCAAATCCCGTTGTTTGAAGTCAGGTAGCCAGGAATCAAAGTTTCTGTCATTAATTTTGAAAAGCTGAGAGTTAATCACCGGAAAGCTTTGAAAAATTCCAGCACACATATTTGCACCCTTAAACACCTGAATAACTTTAGAGTTTAAACCAAAGACTGATTTGCTTTTTCATCCAAAAGACCCTTCGCCTGTGTGTATTCCATTCTAATGCTTATTTACCAGTCTTTGCTATATGAGTAGTTCATTAAAGTGCTACAGTTGAATCCTTTCAAAAGCAGAATTTGGAGGGAAGCTCTCCAAGCCTCCTCCTTTCTTCCCTCTTCCTCTCCCTGCCTGCAGCCTCTACAAGTGACATCACTGCTCCTAATTCCCACTGGCCATATGATCTTCCTTATAAGAATTTAAATACAAAAGTTTTCTTCTCAGCATTCTCTAGTTATGTGCTTTACTCTCATTTTTCTATAGCCCCTTGTATTTTCATTCAGCTTTTGCTTGGCCTGATGTGCTTGGACGCTATAAGCATTAACTCCCACTCTGCACCTAGCCTGCACATCATATTCCTAGCATTCCTGAGTAGTTAGTGCAATATTTATGTAGCCTTTTTTAGGTGCTTAGCACAGAGCTCCAGTCTGTCCTTAGTCTGTCAGACACGTCAGACTAGGAAGAGTTGTGCTTTTCTGGTGAGTGCTTATTTCCCATATCTAGTATGCAGCGAATGACTCATTGGAGCAGCAAGTTTTCTTTTGGTTTCAGAAGTATTCCTTTTGCCCTTGCTGGCTTCCTCATAGTTTGGATTTTTGCAAGAACAGGCCATCAGTATCTCTAATGCTGCTTTTTTACCTTGACTCCAACCAAAGTCCCCAGAGGTGGATTCAGTCCAGTGAATCAAAATGTAAATAGAAACCTATAACTGCACTTACAGTGCCTAAGATTTTAGACATGCAAAGGCAATTGGATGTAACAGTAGCAGTTAAACGTATAAGAATTGCTAATGTAAAATTTGAGTTTGATACAATAGTTATTTGAAATATCTTTTAGTGGAATAAACAGGTCTGACTAAAGCTCTGTTTTGATGTGTCCTGAAAATGTCCGCTCGGATTATAAACTGGGGTATTACTGTGCCAGGTAGAGCCACCATTGGCAGAATGTTGCATAAAGCTGAGACTGGAGAGTTTCAACTGGTAGAAGCAATAATATGAGTTATTCTTTTTTTTTTTTTTCTTTTTTCACTTCAGCAGAAAGATGGTTAGTTTGCTGATGTTCATGGCATTAACGGAAGATTTTGTAAAAAGACAACTATATAATAAAGCCTCCTCTTCTCACTAAAAGTTGGGGGAATTATAAAACAATCTTGCAGTTTAGCGTAGGAAAGCAAAAATAGAAAGGTAATATATTTATTATGAGCTACCCTACAGTATAAAGGGCAGCCTGATAGTTTATTAGACTAAATTTTGACTATTGTGTACATAAATCATTACCACTGAAGGTTGCGTTTCTGGGTTCCCTGTTTATGCACAAGTCATTAATGTTATCTGAGCTACCCTTTCTTTTGCTAGAAAGGACTGTGGTATGTGTGGTTAGTAAAATGGTGTGCCCAGCATCCCTAATTTTTCAAAGCCTGCTTGGGGCTCAGGGCCTGGAGAGCTGTGCCCAGAAGCCTTCAAAGATCCTTAAGAGTTAGGTCCCTCTCCACCAGACCTGGCTAGTGCTGTGTGGAGCTGAGCAGACGTTTGCTTGATTAAATGTGCCATCTAGTGGTTATGTGGTGATAATTGATTAAAAAATAAATGAACGCAAAGCCAAAGGGCTTTTTAAAGAATTTTCTCACCAATGGGGAAAATGGAAAGGAGTTCACAAACGCTCCTTTGTTCCCCTCAAAGGAACAGGCATTCATAAATTGTCTTTTTTTTTTTTTTTTTTTTTTCTTCTTTTCTTCTCGAAGTGCTAATGCCTTCTACTGCCTGTTGTCCACTCTGCTGTCAGGCTCTTTGCTAAGATCTAAATAGAAATCATCTTAGTGAGAGGAATAATTGGACAGAATAATTAGCATTGTATTGGCAAAGCTTCATAAGTTAAATTTGAAAAGTCACTTTCAGTACCTGCAACCGAAACTTTGCTCAGATTTTTTCTGAGATTCTTTTTTGCTTTGCTCACCACCAGTCCCCCACCACCAGCATTTCCCTGATGTCTGTTGGTCTTTTACATCACAGCTAAGCTTCTGGCTCGCTCTCCTTGACTGGTACGCCAGCTCGATCTTGTGCACCAAGTGGCCACCAGAGACAGCTCTTGGCTGCTGCACGGTGCCTTACTGGTTAGCAGAGTCATCATCATCAGTTAGCAGAGTCATCATCTGTTCAAGAGCCAGAGATAAATCTCATTGATTTGTTTTGATTTGGAATTTCTATCTGTGCTAAGTCTCTTATAAGGTGTTAGGGTTCCTGTAGTGTTCTCCAGGGCTCCCGGTGGAGCTGCTGGAAGAATTGGGGCCAAACTCTTCTTGGTGGCGGCCAGTGACAGAGAAAGGGGTAATGCATATAAATTAAAACACAGAAAGGTCCATCTCCGTATGGAGAAGGACTTCTTTCCTGTGAGAGTGACAGAGCCCTGGAACAGGCTGCCCAGGGAGGTTGTGGAGCCTCCTTCTCTGGAGGCCTTCCAAACCTGCCTGGATGCCACCCTGTGCCACGTGCTCTGGGTGTCCTTGCTGGAGCAGAGGAGTTGGACTAGATGAGCTCTAGAGGTCCCTTCCAACCTTAAGCATTCTATAATATAGTGTGAAATACGTTTTCAGTCCTATTGAGCTGCTACACAGAAGTTTTCTTAGCCTACCAGTACAGTAGTAGTACCAATACCTGCCAACTTCAAAAAAAGGAGAAATACATGCTGAGAATCTTTGTTTCCTATGTATGATGGTTGTTAATGTCATTTATTTCTGGGGACATAGAATTATTTATCACTCCTCTTCCTCTACAAGTCAAGTCACAGGTATTGCTGCTCTAAGCAGCAAATATATGTGTGGATCTCATGTAAATAAATTTGTCATCTTTATTTAAAAAAAACTTTCTATTGCTTTTGACTTAAAGAAAACATTATTTTTCTGTCCCTTTCTCCCCTAGGATATTAAACACAACGTTGTTTGAACTATATGAAGCTCTGGGCAATTATCCTGCCTGGTGGGTCTTAAACATGATGCTTGCACTTCTTCAAGTTCTACACTGTTTTTGGTCCTATCTAATCATAAAGGCAGCCTATAAAGCTATTTCAAAGGGCAAGGTAAGACAGCACAGTTCTGTTTCATATTTCTACATTTCAGCTTTTTCAGAATTCACTGAGGGTCTGATTGCTTGTTCTTTCTACTTCATAAGACATTGTTGAGGACTGTTACTATTATCTCATCTTTCCTTTAATAGTGACTTTTTTCCCCTTCCTTCTGATAAATTCCAAACAAATTAACATGTTCTTTTTAGTGACTGTACTTATATATGCTTCTGCACTTCCTCTTTATAATCTTTTTCACAGAACCCAATGACACTCAGGAGGTAGGGTCGGGGGGGAAGAAAGGGAAGAAGCAGCAAATTGTTATCTGTGGGCTGCCAGTTCTGTTATTTTTCTTTATATTGGTTTTTAGAAAAGCATTAATTTCCCAGCTAATAGAGAAGTTATAGGTAGTTATAAAAATATGTATTAAAAGTGTATTGTCTTTGTTAGTGGCAGAATTATGAATCAAAACCTCCTTTAGTCTTTAGTATTAATGAGGCTCTGCAAAGGGCTATGTACTCTCCAGGAATCCCATAGTAAGACCAGTCGGGACAAAATTCATTGTGTCATTGCCATTGTTATAGTTAAAAGGGAGATATAATTCACAGAAATGCTCACCCCAGTACGTTTTCTAGGCAGGTACTGCACTCAAATTTGGGTGATCAAAATTGTATTAAGAGACTTAGTTGTGTGAATTACAGGGAACCATTTCTTCTGAAAATGGTAAAGCACATAAGTGGATATTTTGGATATATGACCAACCAGAGGTGAATGAGATTATTCCTGCAAATGCTTTCTAAGAACGTATCTGAGAGCTTAGCCCCTTGCAGGACCAAGCATGGAATCTGCCACTTGCTGTGCATGAAAGACAATGCAGCTGTGAACTGTGTTTGCCTGGAAGCCACACTTCTTTTCTCCTCTGCTTTGGCAAATATTAGCCTCAGCTGTCCTGTTTGAATTAAACCACTGACTTCAAAGAGCATTACTTACCCTCTCTTACTCTGCTTGTTTGTCCTTCTCCTTGTGCTATGCTGGAAGGCTGGGAAGTGGAACCCTTTGCATGTAAGTTCTTTTATATTCACTATGCAGAAGACATATTCTGTGCAATACTAATTATTTTCTTTTGCAGTTTCTAGTTTATATGTGATGTTTATGTGTACCTGACTGAACGGAGTAGAGAGAAGTCATTTCAGGATGCTGAAGGGATATAATGTCCAGCTCTCAAACTTAGCAATCTTCACCTGTGAATTTCAAAGAGCTACAAAGAAAGGGAGAGGACTCCTTACTCTCAAGAATGCATTTACTTAATATATGGGCATAAACTGGCAGGAATGAAATTCAGGTGAAACAGGGACAGAACTGGACCATGGTCAGTGTTCCTACACACCACTCTTGCTATCTGAGATCCAAGACTGCAGTTATCTGGTATGAGAAGTTACATGGAAACCAGTCCTCCCATTTCTCCCTACCCTCTAGCCTTGTTCCATGAGGAACACAACCTCAAGAGAGTGTCAGGGGGGAGCAAGTTAGTGTGAGTATTTTGTATTTATGCTGACATCAGATCATAGAGAAGCACCCCCAAAGGAAGCACAGGAATCCCTGCACCAGATGTTAATCTGATGTATTAAAGATTCAGGAAATAAACTTATCATATGAGAGTACAGGGAATGGTAGTAGACTGAACTAGAGAGCTTGGATGTTTCCTTTAGTCTGCATACAGCCTTTCGTGTTAACCCTGTGCCTTCATTTCAATGTCCTAACCTTTGATGCACCAGTGGGAAGTTCTTGCCTTGTCTTTGTGCACAGAATTTGGATGTGTTGGCCTCTGTTTTGAAGTGAGTCTAGACAGACAAGGGCAGAGAGGTATGTCAGAGCTGAGACTGCTTTCAAAGCTCTATTTTAAAAAAGAAAAAGCTTAAATTTTCTGATTCTGGCTGAAACAAAAAAGTGTTCCCTTCAATAGCCTACTACTTGTTCTTGTTTCTGAAATTTGTACAGGTTGCAAAGGATGACCGAAGTGACATTGAGTCAAGCTCAGACGACGAAGACACAGGGTCTCGTTCAAAGATGCCACACAGCACTGCCACCGCCAATGGGACTGGCGGCGCCAGTGGGACAAATGGGTATCTTACGGGTGGCGCTTGCTCAGAGGAGCACTAATCCTTGAGTTTAGTCACGAGAGATGAACAGAATGAACTGTTTGCTACTGGAAGTGAATTATAAATTGTGAATGCAGTTTCTTCATATATCACAGCATCAGAAAAAGTTAGGATTATCAAAGCATTCTGATAGTGCACTGCCATATTCCCTGTTTGTGAATGAAGAAGACACACCATTCTGTATACGTAGGCGCATGCTGTATGTATATAACTGACACAATGGGAGCAGTATTTTCATTTTTACTGTCTTTAAAATATTATTTATTTTGTATATTTTCTGGGAACTTTTGGACGAAAGGGAATATCCTTGCTCCAACTTTAGCTCTTTGGATTCTCAGTGGTGGGGAGCATCATGCTCAGACCTCTTCTGTCCATCTCTGTTGCTTTTTCTGAGTCTGCTATAAGTAGTAGTTGCTTGATTTATTACTTACAGTAAGGTAGAACATAGCTTTACAGATTCTAGCTTGCTTCAGATATTTTTGCTATCTTTGTGTTTAAAGTGCTGGTTTTGAAATTGCCTATCAAATCACAGTGGCTGTTTCTCCAACATAAAGTTTTAAAACACTGGATTGGTATTTTAAATTGTAGCTAATGTGATCAGTTAGCAATTGAAAGAAAGAAAACCTGTGGTAATTGTGGGACACTATTTTAGCATAATTTGAAATTCAATTTGGTGGTTAATTGCATTAGAAGTAGACTTGATTGGTTGTGCAAATATGCAAATGCATAATAATGTCAACAGTTAGGATGAACTTACTCATTTTTGCCTTGCAGTTTTTGACCTCTACAGTTTTCAGCTTTTTGCACAGATTCTGTGTTGTACCATTGTGAATCCAGAACTAACTCCTGAAAGTGTTCTTGCAAGTTCAGAAAGATGAGAGCAGGAATATAATGGGGAAAAAAAAAAAAAAAAAAAAAAAAAAAAAAAAAAAAAAA